ACATTAACTTGGTCATCTTAGGAATCGGTAACCAACGAAACATTAATCCATTGCACTTCCATAAATCAACAATAATAGCAAGTAAATTGAAGCTAAACGAAAGTCTCTCAATCACCTTGGTTTAAATCGTCTTTTGTGTTTCTTGCTTTTAGTTTTAATATTTGCTTCAATAGTTGATAGTTAGTTAGTTTGGTTAATTAAGTTTCTAGTCTTGCAGAACTAGAGAAAATCCATTTTTCTTAATTTAATAGTAATTTAGGTAGTTAGTAGATAAGAATTAGCTAATCATTCCGTTCCCTGTGTTCGATACCTGTTTATTGTGCTATACTATTTTCAACAAGGCACATTGCCTTAGGAAGTAATCATTAGTTACATTAGTAGGATTAAGTAGTGCATAATTACTTACACATCAGACTGTCTATATGCACCAACCCTCGGTTTTGTTGAACCTTTCAAACCGGGCCATGTCTGTCGACTCCAAAAGACTTTATATGGAATCAAACATGATCCACAAGCCTGGTTTCAGCGCTTCGCCATCCATGCCATGTGATTTGGTTTCAAGCACAACCAATCAAATTCTTCTTCATCTATTTTACAGCAGGGTATAGACTTGGCTTACTTACTTTTGTATGTTGACAACATCCTCCTGACAGCTTCCAAGTCTATGCTTCTGCGCCATCTTATTGCATCTCTCATCAAAGAATTCACCATGACAGATCTTGGAGAACTGAATTATCTTGTGGGCATCTTTGTAACTAGGTCTAAGACTGGCATGTTTCTCTCTCTCTGGAGAAATATGCATCTGAGTTACTTTAGCACACTCACATGATCGATGTTATCCCCAACTGGACTCCCGTTGATTCTCGGCCAAATTGGGAGGTGATGATACTCCTGTCACCGATCCATCATTGTACCGTATCCTTGCAGGTGCATTATAGTATCTCACGTTCACTCGTCCAAATATCTCCTTTGCTATTCAACAAATCCGCCTCTACATGCACCCCCCTCCCCCCCCCCCCCGAGAACCACATTTTAATGTTCTAAAAATGCATCTTGAGATAAATCAAAGTCACTCATGATCATGGTCTCCATTTCTACACCTCCTCATCTACGTCTTTCACCGCCTACTCAAATGCGGACATGGGGGATGTCTAGTCACTCGTAGGTCCAACTTCGGCTGTTGCGTATTCCATGGAGAGAATGGTAGTCCAAACAATAAACTTAACATCCTAATCCAACGCCGAGGCTGAATATCGAGGCGTAGCCAATGCAGTTGCCGAAATTTCTTGGCTATGCAACTTGCTTCGAGAGCTACACTTACCCCTTCATTCAACCACTCTAATCTATTGTGATAATGTGAGTGCGATTTACATGTTGGCCAACGCCGTTCAACATCAACGAACCAAACACATGAAGATTGATATTCACTTTGTTCGTGACAAAGTTGCTACGGGTCATGTTCGAGTTCTCCACGTTCCATCCAGGTACTAGTATGATGTATCTTCATAAAAGGGCTCCCGTTTTTGCTATTCTCCGATTTTCACTCCAATTTAAGCATTCATGAACCTCCCGCTGAAACTGCGGGCGTATATTAGTCTTGTATTATTTAGCTTGTTGTATTAGCTTAGCCCTATTGTTGCATACAATCCCTGTGTATGCTCGATCCATTTCTCTCTTACTCATGTATCTATTGTTTAATATCAGTGAAATTTTTCAAAGGAAACAATCACTTTTAGTTATTTGTACATAAGAATTATATTATTCTTATATATATATATATATATATATATATATATATATATATATATATATATATATATATATATATATATATATATATATATATATATATATAGGAGGACATAGTATAAACCTCGGGTAGCACGGACCACCCCTCAAAATTTGTGTTCAAATGTAAATTTTGTGTAATTTTGTTGGTAATTAGTCGGTAATGGTTTTAGAAACAATCTTGCCATGGACCAATGCCTACAAACATTGTTAAAGTGCTGACGGAGTTGAGCATCCGTTAATGTGCAACCTCTAAAAAATTTGTGCAACTCATGAAAAAAAATTCTTGGTCCGCCCCTTATATGAAATGAACGAATTCGTCTTTATAGTCGGAATGCTCGACACTATAAATACATAGATTTAGACATGGTAAACTGCACTAATCCATCGTTAAACAACACTAATCCGTCGTTAAACCGTAGCGATATAAAAAAAACCCGTGTAACATAATATATGGAGGCCAATTTTTGGGATAGACTTAGTGACGTGATCTTCCAATTCAACAACATCAATATTCGTCGCTAATCCAATACACTTTGCTTCCACTAACTTCGAAACAAAAAGTTTTGTAACACAAAAGCAACCAATTCGTATCTGATTGTTAGACAGAATTCTAGAGGGACGGAATAGAGACATATAACTTCTATTGCGGAATATCGACGGCTAGGGGTGAGCATGGTGCGGTTTTTGGCCAAAACCGAACCGAAAACCGCAACTTCGGTTTTTAAAGTTTAGAAACTGCACCGTTCGGTTTTTATGCAGTTCGGTTTTTGCGGTTCGGTTTTTTTTGCGGTTTTTTGTCGGTTTTTTTTTGTTTTGCCTTTTTACTAAAAGTCAGTAACTCAACGAGTTACTTTGACTCGGATGAGGAGTGTTAATCATTTCTTGAGAAACTTTATATAGAGATAAAGAGCGCCCGATTTTTCATCACGAGCAATGTGAGACTACTCAAAGATGTGGGTTAAAAGCCATAGACTTGACTCTCTTATATAAAATGTGAGAATGGTGAATGTTTTATCTCAAAGACGACGTAGGATGCTCTTATAAGGCTTACAAAAATTAAAGCCTAAATGATATCTTGGAGATAAACAAATACCACCACCTCTTGGTTTGAAATCAAATGACATAACCACTCCTCAATCATGTTTCTAATAGTTGAATATAATACAAATTATATATAATATTTGTTTCACATGTGCATGCAATAATATCAATTAATGTATCCATAAAAATGATATTATCATCATTAGTACCCCTCATATTTAAATGTTAAAAAATGACAAACATTATTTGTTTTTGTAAATATCATTGAATGTATATTCAAAAATATACAATAATCATCTGATAAATTAGATATTTATATTTATAGAAATTTTAATTGTCATGAGATCTTCGTTTTTACAAATATCAACACTTCATATATATATATATATATATATATATATATATATATATATATATATATATATATATATATATATATATATATATGCGGTGCGGTTCGGTTTTTTGCTGTTTTGTCAAGACTAGAAACCGCACCACACCGATAATTTTCGGTTTTTGCAAAACTAAAAACCGCACCGTCGGTTTTCATTTCGGTTTCGGTTTATGCGGGTTTTTCGGTTTTTTCAGTTTGCGGTTCGGTTTTTGCTCACCCCTACCGACGGCGATATTAGAAACATATTAGAGATGGATGCATTGCGGCACATGAGCGTTGAAAGCGAAACATTTTTTTTTATACGCTAAACTCTTTTGTGGAGGGTTTTTTATTTTATTTTATTTTATTTTATTTATTATAAACTTAAAGAATAATCATTTTTTTTAATTAAGCACAATAATAAACACATATAGGAACATAGATCTAGAAAAATCCGATAATATATCATCATTATATCGTATTCATAGTTAATGGAGAATTGGAGACAAGTTTGCCCGGTTAAGATTCCCTTTTTTTCTCTATTATTCAACACTCCAATTCAACATCATCAATATTCTTCGGCCGCATTACATGAATATCATCATTAGATGATTCATAGTTGATGGAGTCAAGTTTCAGACTCATCACGTTCTTTTCAGTGGTGCTCTCTATTACTCAACACTCTTCCATTAATTGCCACGTTAAGATTCCTTTTTTGTTTCTCCTACCGTTATGTCCTCTCCACCAAAAGTTGAATCAAGATCCTTGAAGGGGGTTGTATTGGAACAACTCACGTCAGTAACATCAAATATTGGTTCAATTTTACTTTTAGGTTCAAAGATTTATAGATTTATACTTTAGACAAATCCAGATTATACGTTATCAACTCCCTCATAAAGGAATAGATGTAAAAGCTTTAACTAGATCATTGCCTATAACAAGATGGAACAAACTTATAGAATAGGAGAATATTCTATTGTGGAAGTTAGGAAAGCTGAGGTTTCCTACTCGTTCAAATTTATTAAAATTGGGGGTAAACCTCACTTATGATTTGTATCAATAATAGAATAAAATAAATAAATAAAAATTCAGTGTACATGCGATGTGAATATCATCTAGAGATCTAGATTATATATAATCAAAATTGCCCTGTTAAGGCGCTTTCTTAAGAAAGATCATGGCCTCGTCATGATTCAATAAACACAACCCTTTGCTCCATTTAAAACCTTCTTACTTAACCCATGGCCGATTCAAACTGATTTGAGGCCCCAAACCAAATAAAAAAATGAAACCCTCTTTTTTGACTGCTTGGACCACTTAATACCAAAATATATTTTTTTCTAAAATGATAAACAGATACATAAAAATGGGCCCTGAAAATTCGAAGACTTAGGTCATTGCCAATGCCCCTCACCCATAGACCCCCTGGAATGAAAACTAACTTTTTAATTTTATGATTAAAGAGTCCTAATGTGTGGATTAATTTTTTTTTTTTTTTTTGAGACTTTGCATAAAAGCATCTTTAGATGGAAAGAGTTGACAATCTCATAATTATAGGTTGATCAAGTCCGAAATCATTTCGGTTCCCCAATCGTTTTAAGTATTGCCACTGGGAAGAGGTGACAATATTGCCCTTTATTAGTTGACAAAACCCATTCCCACTACGATCCGATTACTCAATATTAATGAATTAAACTATTGCTGAAGCCTCGCAACTTGGCAAGCATTGTCCTATTAATTTACATCCATTTTATCCCTTTGAATACAAACACCTATACAAAAAATTAAGAAAGCGATGGATACTGGGTACAAGCATTTCAGCCATGCACACAACCTCGTCATCCACCAAGCACATGAAGCTGCCAAGATGTCATGCACCGGCTGCAACTCTTTGGTCATGGGGACAATATACGTTTGTTGGCAGTGCAATTTCATGTTACACGAGCAATGCTTTCGTGCAACCCGGTCCTTAATACATCCGTCACACCCTTCTCATCCTCTAACTTTAGTTCCTTATCCAACTTATCCCTCAAATTCCTTTTACTGTGATACCTGTAAACTCACCGGAAATGGATTATCATATTCCTGTTCTGATTGTGAATTTGACCTTCACGTCCTTTGTGCTCATTCTATTACCGATACTTCCCCTACTCATCAACCCTCAATGGTTCACCCCAATCAAACTCATGGTCAAGAAATGGTTCCACAAAGTGGCCAGAACTCTTACCAATCACAAAATATCTACCCTCCTACTAGTGTTCATAACCCTATTACTAATTTCCAATATTCTTCCGTGACTCCTATTATGCCGGTGGAAGAATCTGCTTCTGATCGTGAGCATATAAAAAAAAACGAGCAAAGGCTTGAGATTGCAAGGGAGGAGTATAGAATAGCTGCCCTTGGACGTCAATATGCCTTAGACAGCATATAGTTGGATACCAAAAGTTACTCATGAATTGTGATTCCATAAGGAGAGTATTCGTACCACAGATCATAATTCTTAAGATATATTTCATGTTTGAGAATCATTCTCTTCAAGTCATTCTGTTTTATGTTGTCAACCAGTGGCTTAATTAGGCTAGCTTGTTATCTATTTCGATCGATCAAGGCTTGTTTCTTCACTTTCCATTTGTCATGCCTTCTCCAAGTACGGGGTTACCCCTAATCTATTTAAATTTCTATGGATGTTGTTCTTTTGTTGTTCCGGTCATTTACTTACAAATGCGTGCACTTGAGGGTGTTTGGCAGGGAACGTTCGAGAGTTTCTAGCATTTAGCTTTTAACAAAAAGTTTCATGTATGAGCGTTTAGCTTTTAATTTAAACAAAAAACTCGAAATCTAAAAACTATTTCATGTGGTGTTTAAAACCACTATTGAGTTTTTTTAATCAATTAACATAAATTTCCTTAAAAATATATTTGTATATTTTTGTTTTTTAAACAATTGTCGTTTTATGTAATTTTATACATTTCAAAAGCTTCCAGCTATTTTTGCAAAATGCTCACATTACATATAAAAGTTACAACTTATAGCTACCAGCTAGTTTTGCGAAACATATTCTTTTTTTATCATTTTTTTTGCTGAAATGACATCTCTTATAACTTCATTGAATTTTCCATAAAATATCAACAATAAACAAAACAATAGGGTACATTTTAAATCCTAAGGCATGTCTGGTTCAAGGGAATGAATGAATAGACCAAAGGAATGAAAATGTAATGAAATAAGTCATTCATTTACGTCTTGTTTGGTTAATTTTTCTTTTTTGGCGTTCAATATGGAATAAGATAAATATGTAAAAGGACTTACTTAGCCATGGCTGCCACTCTTAGAGACGAAAAACGAAAAAATAACGTTGAATGATTGTTAAAGAAAGAAGGGAAAAACGGCTAATCAGTTAGGGATGATGTTTAGGAAAGTAAATATTGAGTTGCAACACTAATTCACTCATGTCCCACATCGGAAATGGCATTTGTGAATAATATATATACAAAACAAATGGTGATATTATTTTTAGTAACCTACATTTTCTAGAAACAATTTCATTTGTCTATCTATCACTTACCTATGACTAGAATCTCAATATAACTGTAACTTTATCCTGAGATCAATAATAAATTTCTGAGATCAATAATAAATTTGTTCGTCGTCGACGTAACTTGATTATCCTAATGGTGCCATATAAATTTAAAACAAATTACTGAAATCGTCCCTATGGTTTACTAAAATTTCGTGTTTGGTCCCTAACTTTTGTTTTACACTCGGACTATCCTTCAGTTTTAATTTTGTTACGTTGTAAGTCTCTGCATGAAATGACTAATGCTCTTAATATTTTATTTTCAATTTTTTCTTTATTTTTTTAATTAAAAAAATGAATTTAAAGGGCACGCCTAAAACCCTACACTCGATCCTCCTCATTTCCTCTCTCATTCGAATTCAGCTTCCATTAATGAGCACAACCACAACCATCTTCCACTGAAGAACACCACCAGTCGCCATGTAAAGCTTCATCAGTGAAACAATAAATCATCACCACCAACCTTTTCTCCTTCACATCGTCGACCTCAGTTTCTCCTTCACTAAAACTCAGAACCATCGACCCCTCACCAAACACTTCGTCACCCTCCTCTTGCCGGAAACCTGCACCGATAACCATCATCCTCTCAACCCTTTATCCCCACCCATCGATGCAACCATCTCACATATCTACATCGTTGCTGCTAGCATCTCACACCATCGTCTTCGTTAGGCAAAAGACCGGTGAGGCCAAATCGTCATCGGAGCATGGTGCAGGTCTAAGGTCCGAACCCACTTCAAGCCATCGTCACATTGACCTCACAACCCACTTCATCATCAATCGATTTCATCACTTTTCTAGTTTGTATAAAACCAGGGATTTCCCAATTCTGTTTCTACCCGTTTCATAAATGAAATCAAATTTAGGGTTTGTGTTTTTTTTTCTAGGTTTGAGCATCAATTTGTTTTGTTTTGTTTTTGTTTTTGTTTTTTGTTTTTTTGTTTTTTGTTTTTGTTTTTTTGTAGCTTTGAATATCCAGGGATTTTCCCCTATTCTATTTCTACTCTCCTTCTCACTTGTTATAGTTGGTCTTTGAGGTTTTTTTTGGGTTTTTGGTGATGATGAATTCGAAATATGTTATGTATCATGTTAAAAAAAACAATTAGAGCAACATATTTGTGATTCTTTTGATTTCACCAATTTTATGATTTTTTTTTGTTTGGCTTTGATTTTGATTTTAGAATTGAATTTGTTTTTGGTTTCGTTTGATTTGTTTTTTGGTGGCGTTCCCAGAGGTGACTGTCACCTCTGGTGTTCACTTAAGTTTTGGTGTTCACAGGAGTTAAAGGCGACACTGGTCGATGATGGCTAGTGGTAGTTGGAGGTCACCGGTGGTAGTTTCCGGCGGCTGATAGGTTTTCTATGTTGGTAGGTAATGGTGGGCATTGATAGATGGTGGTGATGGTGGGAGCAGTGTATATTAATATTTTTTATTAATAAATAACATAAGAATAATATTAAAAAAAATTAAAAAGAAAATATAAAAGGCAATATAGTCTTTTTTATATCTAAGAGGGATCAAATACGCAACAAAAACAAACATTAAGGATGGTCTGAGTGCAAAACAAACGTTAAGGACCAAACACTTAATTTTGTTAAACCACAAGGACGATTTTTGTAATTTGTTCTAAATTTTTGTCTGCTTTATTTTTCTTTGCATCTTTTAATTTTGCGATTGTCAGTCTACTATCATAACTATGAATGAATGCAAAAAAGTTAATATGGACAAGTTTGATAGCCGTAATTATTACTTTTTGGAAGATGTTGAATTGAATCTCTATAAAAAAAAGCTTCACGATACATTAACGTTGTATGAACAAAAAACTTGAATCAATGAAACAAAAGGATAAGTTGTTGTTGGATCACTGGAATGATCATATTGTCATTAGAGAAGAATATCATATACTATCATCCATGAGAAGACAACGTTTAGACCAACCAAGGCGTAGTCCAATACATACGAAAAACCCTCGATAGAAAATAAGGTTTTAACAATACAAAAATGAAGATAGGCATGTTATTTGCTTAACGTATTAATTTATATCATTGTAATTATTTAAAACATCGAATATTGTTTTTTGTTTTTAAAGATAAAAATATAATCATTTATATAGAATTATTTTTAACTATTGTTATTGTAAGTTATTTTAAGCTATTTATTTGAAAACTTATAATGATTATAAAAATATCTTTAGGAAATATTTTAGTTAAATTGAGATTACAATTTAGTTTTTGCATTTAGCACTACAATTTATCACTTTTAACTATTCACAAATATTCTTTTGTTTTTTAAGTGTAATTGAAATTTATATTTAAGTTGACCGTGTACTGTTATATTTTAATTAACAATTTAATTATTTATCCAAACTGTTTAAATGTTGTAGCTTTAAATTGAAAATAGTTTATACACAAAAACATATTAAATCTAATAAATTAAGTATAATATGTTAAAAGTTAAAGACATAACCTTATATGAAGAATTAATATATTATTTTAATATTGAAATTTAGTTTATATATGATTACATTTAGGTTTGGTAATTATTTAACCTTATTAACCAACTTATAATCATTATTAGAAAGACACTACAATTTATTACTTTTAACTATTTACAAAATATTATTTGCGTTGTTTAAGTTGAACTAAAATTTATATTTAAGATAACCCTGTAATATTATATTTTATTTACCAATTTAATTATTTTATCCAAACTATTCAAAATTTGCAGCTTTAAAATGATAATTGTCACACCCCCAAACCGGAACGACGGAAACGTTCGGGGGCGGAAGACGTCATGTACAGTATCACAACAATTGCATAATAGTAATCAAAGCAAACACAACCCTTACATTGATAAAATATAGTATTTACATCTATATAATACATAGTTTGTATGACATCAAAAGTGTATAACAAAATGTATAAAAGACGCGACTCTAAAAGCTCCGTCTTCTCAAAAGTCGTGGGTGTACCTGTCTACCGGTTCCCTAAGAATACAAGTGGTTTTGAAAGTGTATCAACATTTAAGTTGGTGAGTTCATAAGTATGTTTTTGAAATTGAAAGCTTGTCTTTGTTCATTGAAAATGTGATAGTATATTTCCAGAAAATCCAATATTTTCTTTAGTAGTGAAAAGTAGTCTTAGGCCTTAAGACTAAAATTGTAACATACAAGTTAATAACTTTGTTCGATTATCGTGTTTTGTAAAGCTTATTAGCTTAAAATGAATAATATTATATGTTTTTGAGCATTGAGTTCTAACAAGATAGTTTTTGCGAGATTTGAAGTAAAACTATGTTTAGAATCACTCGAAATGTATTGGAAGTCTTATGAGATTCCAATCAAAAGTCAAATATTGAAATTTAACAAAAATATAAAAATTGAAATAAGTAAAATTTTATTATTGAAAGTTGTAGATAATTTCGTTAGAAACATTTAGGCGAAAACCTCATCGAAATCCGAGTTATAACGAAGAAGTTATGACCAATCGAAAATCCGCGACAAAACCGGCAAACACTATTTAGCATAAAAAGTGAGTTTTCGATAAACTACTTTTTAGCCTTAGTGATCTAAATGAAAGTCGTAGTACTCGTTAAAACGAGAATTTTCATAAAAAGAATGTCCAAATCTGACTTCGTATGAAAAAGTTATGATTTTTCTAAGTTTCGGTATAACACTAGTCAGCTAAAATCTCGAAATAAAGATCGAGCGAGTTTTATCCGACACAACCTAAACGAGAATCGAAGGTCTCGTCAATAGTAGTACAACGGTAAAAAGACAGACTAAAACGGACGTCGGATGAAGAAGTTATGAATTTTTAACGGACTTTTCTTGTCCCGGCCTGTTAAAAATATA